TACATATATATATATATATGCACCATTCGCAGAGAAGGGCCTGATAGAAATAGAGGCATTTTACGAAGACGTTTAAAATGCAAAGAAATCTCAAGTCACAACACATCGTTCTGATCTCTCCTACTTCTTTACTGTGTTTGTTACTCTCTTGTAACACATCTAATCTTCGGCACTTTTATGAGGATTGTAGGGGGTGCTGTACGATAGAGAGCCAAGTCAGGTGCCTCCTCGTTTTACGTTTATTAGCGAGCGCCTGAGAAGGATTTCCCTGTCCACTCAGCAATATTGTCGGTCCACCTCTTTCTTTACCTTCCCCTCTTTCTCCTCCCCTGCACAGTTCCCTGAAGAATGGTCATGGCTCTACTTTACAAAATTTTAAGCATTTATGGCAGATAGTGAGAAAGAAATTAGAGTCAGACTTCGACGATGTTTCAAATCTCAATCGACACACTTTGACCCCGCCAATCAGGGTCAGAAAGGGTTGAGACAAATAAAATGTCCCAGTTGACAGAGGGGTGGTTGGTTGGTTGATGCTCAGGTGTGGTTTGCTCCTTCTTTCCTATCAAAACATCTATCTTCCTGATCTCTCCTCCTTCTTTTTTCAAATAAAATTAATTGTTACTCTCTTGTAACGCATCAAATCTTCGGCACTTATATGACCTTATAGTGTTGCAAGTGCTGTAAAACGCTTAATGAAACTATACATAAGACAAAGGAAGTTACTCGATAAAAGATCCTTTTCACTCTGGAATCGAACTCATGTCTTCCGCGAGCTACGACGGAGCGCCTAGCTAGCCGCTACAACACAGGCGCTTCGAGGAAAATCTTGGCGTGAAATCCTGCACAAGTATGTGCACAAATCGTGTGACGAAAGCTTGAAAAATGTGTCAAAAAAGAAACAGAGAAAGAGGAAGGCGGTAGGTCTCTAAAGTAAATGCCAGGCTGAAGGCGGAAGGAGAGAGAACAAAAAGATATAGCCAGCAATCTTCAACGTTCTAGAATAGCCACAAGTTATTGTTCCTGGGGACAAAAAGCCACTAAACGTCTTTTCTTTTTCTGAACCTTTGCTCGTGTTCCGTTTCAGTTGCAGGGAGGGAGATGTCAAATAAATAATCTGTTTTCTGGCAATCCGAGTAGCCGAGGGGACAGAGACCTGATCTGATAAACAAACAAAAATAAGGCGTGAGAGATTTTTTTGGTTGTTCTCACAACAATTTTAGCAGCATCTTGATATCTTCATGCTCTTACTCTTTTTTTCTTTTCTTCTAACACATTCGAACGTTTGAGCAGAGGCAGCAGATTTGCCATCCTACACGTCCTCAAATTTGACACCGCGCTTACGTCACACAACTAAAACAAATCCACTAGCTCGAGAAACCCCCCCCCCCCCAAAAAACAAACAAACAAACAACAACCCCGTAACATTATCGTGCACTTTTATTCCAGAGCATTCACAAAGATGAATTGGCGTCTCGTCAGAGCGGCCGGCAGTACTCCTACTTGGATGTCTTCCGAGGAAAGCGTATGGCCAAAATCACCATCTCTTTCGCTATTTTGTGGTAAGTGGACAGCCTTAGTTTTAGTAGAAATTTTACGGCGCTCGCAACTGCATAAGGTCATATGAGCGCCAGAAGATTAGAGTATTAGTAGAGGTTTTACAGCGCTCGCAACTGCATAAAGTCATATTATGAGCGCCAGAAGATTAGATGTGTTACAAGAGAGTAACAAACATAAAAAAGAAGAATGGGGAGATAAAAGGACGATAGATGTTTGGTAGGAAAGAAGAAGCAAACCACACCAGAGCACACGCCAACCACCCAAGAGTGGACTCCGGCACTGCACTGTGTCAAGTCTTTGGGAAGCGCCAAATCTTTGTGTACCCCC